ATGGAGAGCACCTCAAGCTCAAATGTCTACTTCTCAGTTGGCTTCACTCAAGCCAGAATTTTGAAGTTTTGGTCAAGGGTCTGGATGACCTCCCTCACCAGGCAGTGCTTTCACCTGATCCATCCCCATGTTTTTGATACCGCCTTCGCCCATTCTACCACATCTGGGCATCAATAACCATGGACCAATGGGTGTTAAGAGATCATACGATCGGGATATACCATCCCTTTTACCTCCCGACCACCTACCCCATCCCTCTTCAGGGACCCTTCTCACGAGCACCTGTTACGACAAGAAGTCAACCATCTTCTACAACTAGGTGCTGTGGAATGAATACCTTCGCAATACATGGGGAAGAGGTTCTACTCCCACTACTTCTTGACCCAGAAGAAGAATGGGGGATGGAGACCTGTCTTGGATCTCAGGAAAGTCAAGTTCATATGCACTCAAAATTTCAAAATGGTGACACTGGGCATGATACTTCCAGCGCTGCAAAAGGGGAACTGGTTTCCAGCCCTTGACCTCCAAGATGCTTATTTTCATATTACTATACACCCAGATAACAGGAAATTCCTGCGTTTCACGGTAGGACATCAATTCTTCTAGTACAGAGTACTACCTTTCGGCCTATCCACCGCACCAAGAGTTTCCTCCGAAACCCTAGTGGTGGTAGTGGCATATCTGCAAACAGGGAATAATGATTTTCCCTTACCTGGACGATTGCCTTCTCAAAGGTCCAACTCAACAAGAAGCACTGGATTTGGTCTGGATGATGATCATGCTATTCAGGGATCTAGGACTATTGATAAACGAATGAAAGTCCACTCTAGTCCCTGTCTGGTCTTCATAGGGGCACATCTCGATGCCCGGAGCCCTGTCCCCCTGCACCCAGCCCTGAGCCCCCTCCCACACTCTGAACCCCTTGGCCCAACACATGAATTTTGTTATGTGCACCAATATTGAGTTGATGTGTCACACACCACCTCCTTATTGGTGCACATAACAAAATTCATTCTGCACATGGGTGGGAAAACTTAGAGGGAACATTTTCAATCTGGTGTTCAAATACCTCACCAGACCACCATTTGAACCCTTAGCCACCTGTACCCTGCTGCATTTATCCATGTAAGTGGCTTTTCTGGTCACCATTACTTCCGCCAAATGGGTGAGTGAGATCAGGGTGCTCATGTCTGATCCTCCCTACATAATATTCTTTCAAAGACAAGGTCACGTTACGCCCACACCCAAAATTTTTACTGAAGGTGACATAATCCTTCCATAACCAATCCATCTTCCTATGTTCTATCCCAAGCCTCATGAGACTCCACCAGAGACCATTTTGCACATATTGGACATCAAGTGAGCATTAGCATTTTACCTGGAAAGGACCAAAGCTTTCCGGAAATCTCCTAGACTTTTTGTTACCGAATGTTTGAAAGGCTACATAATATCCACTCTGAGATTGTCTAAATGGATCTCCTCCACACGCATTCAACACAATTATTTCTACCTCGATAGTGTTCTTCAACAATGTTCCAATATTAGAGATTTGTAGGGCGGCTATTTGGGCCTCTGTCTACACATTCACTGAGAAATATGCAGTCACTGAAGACTCCAGAGCTGACTCAATAGTTGGCCTAACTGTACTTACCTCTATGACTCAAATGAACCCGAAGTCCCTCCTGCCTTCTGAGGGCACTGCTCTACAGTCAGCTGAAGGGGAGCACCCACAGAGACAGCACTTGAAGAGAAGGTTACTCACCTTGTGCAGTAATAGAGGTTCTTCGAGATGTATGTCCCTGTGGGTGCTCTACTACCTGCTGTCCTCCCCTCTACCTCGGAGTTCACAGTTCGGACTCTGTGGTAGAGAAGAACTGGAGGTCTCAAGTCATGTGCATGCTAGATGCGGCACCAATGGCACTGTGAGATGCCTACTGCGCATGCGCGAGCCATGCAGACACTACTAGCATAAATTTCCGATCAATGGCGCCAGGATGCACCAACACCTGATGTGGAGCACTTACAAGGACACACATCTTGAAGAACCTCAGTTACTGCCCGAGGTGAGTAACCTTCTCGTACTACTTGATATTTGTCTTTCAAGGATGTTTGTTTTAGCATAACGAATTTTGAACCGTGTGGCCTGTTTTTACCAGGTTGTCTGTCTTTACTTGTAACATTTTGAGGGTGTCACTCAGCACCACAGTATTGTCAGCAAAGTCTGTCTTGTAGACATTTGCCATCTTACCACCTTATACCAGTTTTTATGTTGTTAATGCTGTACACTTCTTCATTACCCAGTCTGTGGCAATCCCACACAACAGCAGTGATCATAGGCAGCACTGTTTCACACCAGTGTCCATGTTGAACTAGTTTGTTATCTGGTTGTTCACCCTTACAGGGCACTTGGCATTTCTGTACATGGCCGTGATGATGTTGACGACGTTAGGTGGGGTCCTGTAGGACTGAATGCAGCCTATATTTCTCCTTTGCATCCATTGCCTGTGTCAATCTGTGTAGTGTCACAGGCTTTTCCTACAACGAAGGGTAATGTGACTCCTCTCCAGTTGTTGTTCAGTAAAATCACCCTTTTTGATATTCTGACAATGATTCCATGTTTCAACTGGTCAGAAGGAGGTCTCTTTTCTTCCAAGACTTCATTCCACAGCTTGTCAATTTCATTATGGTGGTGGTATCAAATGCTTTTAGCGTCTCTGCTCTGATTTGATCATTGCTCGTCTCTTTGTTGCTTTTCAGCTTCTTGATTGTGGCCTGTACTCCTGACATCTTTACTTGACTAAAGTTCATGTGAACGTGCTCAGGTTTGCATGTTTCATTGAAGTCTGGTGCTAAAATGGGGCTGGATCTATTGGGGATTTCTTTGAAATGCTCTGTCCATCTACTTTTCAGTTCTGTCTCAGTTGTTAGCATTATTTCATCTTTCCTTTTTATTGGCCCGTTTCCTATTCTGAAGTTTCCTCATTGGGTTATAGTTGCTTTGTAAATGGCTCTGTGACTTCCCATCGTAGCAGCTGCTTCAGATTCAACGACTAGGTCTTCAACCTCTCTTTATTTATCTTTCCCTGCATCACTTTTCACTGCTTTATCTTCTTTCTTGTACAACTTCTTTGCTTTTTTCCAGTAATTCATTGGTCAGATATCATGTCGTTACACCCCATATTCTTTATGGAAATATGATTATGATATGGATATAGCATAACTGAGATATATTTTATGCAAGATGGGTCCTATAAGGTATCGTTAGAAAGGTTATAATTTACTGAATGTGATTATCCAATGTGTTTGCGTGTATCATTTCTGTATGTAAAGTTAGGAATATCGACTATGTAACAATTACAACTGGGTGTGTATTTGGGAAACACACCCCAGACAACAGGCAATGAGCCTTGATGAGCAATTAGGAAGAAACAAGAAGACTGTGAAGATATTAATCTCTCTCATTCCTGAGAGGTGTCCTGGCATGTAGCTGTGACACTACCAGGTTAGGTGGTCCTGTCACCTGGTACTAATATCATTTTGGACTTGTAGTAATTTTCTACCAAAAGGAGGAGTGGGAGGTCAAGACTGGGAAACAAAAGATTCCCGCCTTACGTAAATCTTATGTAAGACAGGGGAATAAGGCAAACAGGACTCTTGTCCATTGCCTTCCTGCCCAAGAAGAAAGATTGCTGAAAGTACCTGAAGAGACAAAGGAACGGACGGTGGGAAAGGCAAGGGCTGAGTCCAGGCCAAGGCAGGAGTCTCGACTGTAAAGAGAAATAACTGGAATTCTAAGATACAGAAACTCTGCAACTTGCCTAAAACAACATTTAGGGTGATAAATTATTTCTTGAAACCAGTCTCTTTAAGATCTTAAGCTTAGAATGCATGTTTTGTTTTATTTGCTTGGTAATCTGCTTTATTCTGTTTGCTATCCCTTGTAATCACTTAAAATCTGCCCTTTATAGTTAATAAACTTGGTTTTGTTTATTATTAAACCCAGTTTGTGCAATTTCTAACTGGGGGAGGAGGGGAAGAAGTTGTGCATATCTTCCTCCACATTGGGGGGGGGGCAAATTTATGAACTTATGTTATATAGATTTCTCTAGAGTGCAAGACCACTTTATTTTGGGTGTACTTTCCAAGGGGAGCTGAACTTGAGTGCTGGATGATTTCCTAGCTGAGTCTTCTCATAGAGAGCTGTTTGCAGACTCTGTGATTCTACAGCTGGTGTGTGCGTGCTTGCTGCTGGAGGTCGGAGAGCCTAATTCAGCAAAACGGAGAGAGGGAACCCAGGCTAGTAGATCGTGTGGGCTCAGTGAAATTCCAGTACATCAGGTGGCATCCCAGAAGGGGGGTCCAACCCATCACAGATATATTAGCAATGTATGTGATTGAAACAAATATTTTAAGCCTTTAATGTCTTTTTATAATCCTTGAGGGTTAGAGTTAGGTGGTTGTTGAAATATCTGTTATGAGATGTATCTAAATCCTTTGGCATCTGTGAACCAGGAAATAAGGCAATCTAGTAAAGAGATCCAAGATTAAATAAATAGATACTGGTATGAATCCTAGAAAGCTGGAAGGTTTGCTTGGTGGTATATTCAGACAATCCATGAATGCATTTTTTTTTTACAGACTTTTTTTCTCTTACCCCAAAATAACAGAATATTTTCCAGTGAACTGTGAGCATTATTATTAGTGAACTTGAACATCCAGCTCTCTGAGCAGTACTGTCAGGGTAGTCTTGTGGACTTCAAACATGTCACCTTTATAGATCTCTACTTGTTTGGGAAGAAGTGCACTTGGGATGCCTCTGAAGTCCACATTTTTGCTGATGAGCTTTTTGCTGTAGGTTCTGCTTTGGGAACATTTAATTAAAAAACAAAAGTGCATTTTGTGCAAGGTTTGTGCCATTCACTGTAGAAATTGCTTTTAGGAATATAACTGCACACAATCTATTAAAGTAAGGTTCATTGTATTTTCTTTTCTTCTTGCAGATATTTTGCCCAAATCTGAAAAAGATTATGATGATTTGAGAATCACGGCAGAAGTTTCACCTGACTTGGATGTAGACTCTGTAAGTAAATTTATAAATAGGAAAGTCTTACAAAACCAGTTTTTCTGCTCTGTTACATCTCTGAAGCAGCCATTTATGTTAGTGGTCTTACGTTATTGCAATTATGAATGAGAAGAGAATTTGACCCGTAGAATGATTTGTATGACTTTAGCTCAGATATTTGGGGAATGCCCAGTAATACAAATACAGACAAGGAAATTACCTTAGGCTCGGGCATTAAAAATAAATTGGTAATATTACAATAATAATAATAATAGTTAGTGATTTAGATATTCCTAGCACTGTACAGATATTCATCCTCACAATCCCCCATATGAGATAGATGGGTAAGTGTTGCTCCTAGTTTACAAATAGGAAAACTGAGAAAGGAATGTGTTAATTGTTGTAGCCAAGTGGTTTCAACTGCTTACTAATATTTGGAAAAATAAACAATGTTGCAAACTATATAAAATGGCAATATTAACCTATTTGCAACTCTTGACAGAATGTTATAAAAACTTGTATTTTGTCCTATGTTAAGAAACTAAATAGATCATAACCAGAGTCACTTTATGACCCACTTGGTTTGTGTTGTACAAAGACTACCAGGAGTAGTTTAATACAGTTGCAGAGAAACCAACAAGGGAGCAGTTTGACATCTAATTTTACCTTTCATTTGTATCACATGACCAAAACTAAACCTGTAAAGCTAGTGCAGGGACCATAGTCTTGTACTTCAAAATGTGGTTCTACTATGACAAGTGACTACAAAATATAAAAAGATAATGCCCTATTGAATAAATCTGAGTTCTGTATGAATTTAGTCTGGTCAGTAGCTATCACGTCTTTTTATTACTGCGATTAGTGCTGCAAGAACAGCACAGCTAGTGGGGAGAGAGAGCTGGATCCTAATCTGGCTTCCACAACATCTACAGAATTAACTAAGCCCTGGTCTACACTGCTGGGGGGAATCGATGTAAGGTACACAACTTCAGCTACGAGAATAGCATAGCTGAAGTTGATGTACCTAGATCGACTTACCGCGGCGTCTTCATGCTGGTGAGTCGACTGCTGCCACTCCCCCGTCGACTCCGCTTGCGACTCTTGCAGCGCTGGAGTTCCGGAGTTGACGGGAGAGCGCTTGGGACAGATTTATCATGTCTAGACTAGATGCGATAAATCGAACCCCGATATATCGATCGCTGTCCAGCGGCTAGTGTAGACCTATCCTAAATTTCAGTTGCCAAATTCTTTTCTCTATTACACCATGATCTTCAATGAGCTCCATTGTTCACAGATGTAAATGACGGCAGAATGGGAAGACTGTGAGGCTACACAGATGCAACTTAGGGCAGAATTGGATCTGCAGAATCTTTATTGCTGGTGATAATGCATTAGCTAGAAGGATGCAAATTTTAGTCAGTTTTACTTATAAACTAAGAACATTTGATATGGGGGTTATTGAGAGGAAATAAACATGAAAGCCCCAAATGACCTTTTATATTAATGGCCTACTTTTCACACAGGTTGAGTACCTGCAGCTCCCACTGACTTCAGTGGAAGCCACAGGTTCTCACACTTCCACACACAAAAAAAGTCATCAGGCCATGCAACTATGCACTTTCCTGGGTAGGAAACACTAGTCCTACCAGAATAACTCCAAGTCTTCCTCATTTACAGATGGGAATTTGCAGACCCCATGAGAAGCTTTATAAAACTCACAAATTAATCAGTAACCTCCATAGACTTAGTCTAAATATCTGTGAAGCAATATGTGGACCTTCTTGTATAACAGACCAATCCAGATCTAGAAGGTGTGGTGAGGGGCTTGGAAATCCACATACGTTCCAAAGTTATTACAAATCTGCCTTTTCAAATCCCAACACTGGAAGAGGAAGCAGGGATATTTCTCCGGTGCCTTCTGTTCCCATGATGCTACCAGCCAGGAAAGGATATCAGGAGTAAGTCTAGATGGGATGCATGTGTAAATGCATGGTTGGGTACATGCTGGTGCTCTTTTAAAAACTAACAGTATATTACCCTGGCTAGAATATGTTGGCGATGTCACTGTGAACACTTGGCAGCTGACTATTCACCTTAGCTGGAAGATGATGTCCCCTTGGGACTGTGGAGTGTTGGTAGGTGCAATAGCTGAACACCTCCCCTGTGTTGAACATTAGGTACAGCAGGAAAATTATAATGCTGCTGCACAACTAGTAAACTACTAGTTTACCCATCCCCCAGAAGAGTAGAGTACCAAATGTGACCTCAGATGACTGCAGGCTTTAAATCTAATTTATATCACACTTGGACATCTATGACAAACTGCTACGTCCAGCTGCAGAATAAGATACGTGTCTCCACCCATTTAAGAATAAACCAGATAGGAAACCTGTCCTAGACCACGTTTATAATAGAATGACAGCTGAAGGTATACAACATGACGGCCAACATCTTAGTAATTTTTTTGTTAGTTTGTAGTTAACAAATATGTGAAGTGGTTTTGCTATCAAGTTCTTTTCTGCCATTTCTGTCTTTACAATCTTTTCATGAGAATTCATCAGTCCAGGTGCAAAATCTACTTGCTTCCCTTTTACTGTGATGATGACATTGCAAGAAACTAAAGATATTTTTTTATAAGTCGAAAAAGAAAAGTGAATGAATAAATATGATTTGCCCCAGACAAGAGGGCATGTACAATTTTGAAAGGCTGTCTTTGTAATACCAATTTCAATAGCATTTCAAGTTGCTTGTGTTAACTATGCACTAGTTACTTTGGGTTGCATTCTTGTTGTAGGTTTGCTTGAATTGATACTTTTTTATGCTGAATTACAGATGGTAAAACTCATGGATAGGCTTTGAGGAATGGTATTTATGTGAAGAAATAGAATATGTGCATGTGTCAACAAGCCTTTTTGGCTGTAGAGGGATTGATTACGCAGGGTCTGCACTAATGTATATGGATCCTTATTGAATAAAATAGTACTGGTAACTTTTATCTGCATTCCCACAGATATGAATGAGGCATTGAAGAATGTTGCCAAATATAACTATTCACTTATTTTCTATAATTGAGAGAGAGAGAGAGAGAGGGGAAAACAGATCCACTTTTCAGCTTGGCAAGCATTCCAGTTTCTTTTATACAATCTATAAATACAGTTAAAATACAGTTAAAACCACCTCAGATGTATGACATATTAATGTGTGTTAACTTGTGTAACTGACAGAGATCTTATGGTATTCGATGCAAAGATGTCAATACATTGCACTTTGATTAATAGTTTTAATTAAAATAACTGTGTTTCTCTATCTTAGCCCTTAGAAATTGGATGAAACTGAGCAAAGGAATATTTTAAGATGAGTTTCTGGAATAATTTCCTAGTGGTGAGCTCTGTTACAGTATGTTAGTAGTCTGAAGAGAAACTTAATGATCTGAAGAGAAATAGTAGAAGTCCCATTACATGGATCATTGGAAACTATACTACACAAAGCATTCACAGATACCCTGTAGGGAGTGATCCTGCTTTGGCAGCGAGATTGGCAAGATGGCCTGATGGACTTCTGCCATTCTAACTTCTGTGATGCTACAGTGCAGTTTAACATATACAGAAGTGAATCAGTCATCTTGTACTGTTGTAGTGTTCCAGCCTACTGAAATCTCTTATGTCCAATTTTATTTTTTCCACTAAAATTTAATATATAAACCTCTCAGAACATAGAATCATAGAATATCAGAGTTGGAAGGGACCTCAGGAGGTCATCTAGTCCAACCCCTGCTCAAAGCAGGACCAGTCCCCCCAACTTGTTAATTGTTACATGTACAATGCTGTGCCAAAACAGCTGTTAACTAGTCATTTCTGGCTATGTATTTCTGCAAAACTGTGTTTACTGGGATTACTTGCTATTTGAAAAATATAAATGGAACTGCATTTTTAATATTTATAAGTAGAAGTATAACTGTCATATTCCTTATCAAAAATGTTTTAATAGATTATTAATATATGCTAAGCAATGTATGTTCCGTGTCTTTGTCTTAGCAGTTGTCCATAGGAAAGACTTCATGCAAAAAAGAGGACAGAGATCTGGCAGCTTGGTCTTGTCTAGTTGTGATAATAACCTTGCAGATTTGGGATTCCTTAGGTCAATAGAAAACTGTCATGTTGTTGTACTGATGCACTTAACCTTGTGAATGCAAACTGATCTGCTTCAACCTTCTCCTGCAAAGAGAGCTGTGATATTGAGCATGGTCTTGGAGGCAGTTGTATGTCTTAGTTTCATGTGAGGAAAAGAGTTTCATGGTGGTTCTCATTGTGGGTCATAAAGAGTGAAAATGCAGTAAGGAACTACATGGGAAGGAAAAAAGGAAACACATCGAAGTCCAGCACCTTTTGGATCCTTACATCCAGAGGAAGCCCCATTGATTTTTGAATTCTGCACGTGCACTGTGGACACTGCTAGTGAATCCCAATGCATGGGTTAGGGAAGTAGCAGACAGCGTATCTTGTTTATGCTGGCAGAAAGCATTGTTTTATTTAACCTTTTGCCGTATGAAGGTATAATCTCCTGCAGTATATATTGGTATAATCACCTTTCAGTATGGTTAAGTTTTGTAAGGATTCTTGTGTGTGTGTGTGTGTGTGTGTGTGCACGCACAATATTGCACTGTAGGGTCAAGCTAATTTTTGCTGTGGACATGGTTGTTTGTTGAAATAGAAATAAGAAACACCAATAAAAAAGCCTTCTCTCTCTCTCTTTCTCTCTGAAATTCAGGACATATACAGTATGCCATTTTATTTTGATTATAAGATAGTGTGTGGTGATTATGCATTATGTGCTATGGTGTGGTGTATATATACTATATGTAGGCAGATTGGAAGTCGCCTTTCCTTACTGAATAACACAAGGAGTTTCCACAGTTTGAATAAACTCTCAGTGGAAGGAACCATGCCAGACAAAACAGTACCAAATATTCAAATACATATATAAAAATGTATTAGCTTTTTATATACAAAATATTCATGGTCGTTGCTTATCCTTTTTGTGGGCAGTTTTAAACAGGAATTTTGTCTTTTCTAACGAAGGGGCACAGAAATCTATTTTGTGTATTTCAATCTGTCATCAGAGTGATAAGTTCTTTACAGTTAACTCACTATTTAGCTAGTTGGTGGTGGAAGGGTAATACTGCATTCATTGTGTTCACTCATTCATGTGTGATACTGCATTTGCTCTGTTTTCATCTTTTTCTTCACAGCAAGCCATTGACAGTGAGGTGAGAGCAGAGGCAGTTCCTTCAGTCACAGTAAAGGTATTGTGCTTTGCTCAAACTGTAACACTTAAAACAGTAGCAACAAATCTCTGCAAACCTTTCACATTTGTTGTCCCTTTTACTTAAGTCATGGAAATGAGAATAGAGCTCGAATGCCATATATATATTATATATTTATATTTACAATTTTATCTCCTTCTTTTGGTGTGGGAAGGGAACTTTTTTCTAACTTCCTGCCAAAATTGTAGCTTGATCAGCAAGTTATATATATATCTTCTGTGTTAATTTGTTTTTAAGGAAAAGTCAGATAAAAGATATGTAAAGACTATGGAGTTGAAAGAAGTAGTTTTGGGAGTTTTTCATAGTGGGTGCCTGACAGCGTACTCAGAGTTTTAGATCCTTAACTACATTCTGTTGGAACCCTGTGTGTGTTTGCTCAGAAATTTTTAGAAATATTCACCTTTGCACAGAGAAAACATTTCAGTTCAACAGGTGAATTTTTTTTAGGAAGTTTGAGCAAAATCTCTTCTAATGTCTTTTTAGTTATGAAAGAGTAAAAATAAATGAATTTGTCCTATTTGTAAACTTTTTATTCATGCATTTACTTATAGCTACAGCAAAAATATGAGAGGTTTTAATTTGAAAGAACATGGTCATAGTCCTCAGTGAAGATTAATGTTTGTGCTTAGTTTTGAAGAAAAGATTTGTGTGTGCACGCAATATGTTTCTTCTGAGCATTAAATCAAATTGATGGTAATTTAGCTTCTGAACATGCCACAGTAACTTCTAAGATCTTTAGCAGAGCAAAACGAAGGCCTTGCTTTTTTGTATTTCTGCCCATTCTTTCTCTCTCCAGACTGAGAAGCACAGGGACTGATGAGACCAAATCATAGGCTGGATTCTGATATCTTACTCTAAGTAGCACCTTACACCATGAGTAGATGACTTTTGTAGAGTAAGGTACTCTGAGGAAGGGTTAGCAGGATCTGAGTCTACATAAGGGAGATTTTAAACATCTCATTCAAAACACAGGCAATAAAATTTGCAACAAAACTGTCTCAACAGCAAGAGGAGAAAATCATGTATGATGAAAAAACCACCGTTGCCACAAATTTTATGGTCTCAGTAATTTCTGCTGGAATAATCTGTAACTTCTGAACTTTCACTTAAATACATTTTCTATTTTTCCCACCTCCTCCTCCATTGGGGGCTTTGCCATTGACTTCAGCATGACCAAGATTTTACCCACAATCATTGCAATGTAAACTGTTAGAAAACTATCTCCAGCCAAGCACCAGTATTAGTGGTAGAACTGGCCCCTCTCCACTTCTAGTCACGTACACTGAAGTGTGCACATCAAAGTCTAATTGGGGCTATTTAAATTCTAACATTGTTAACCACAAGCAATTCCTCTTTTTTTTTTTTTTTTAAATAAGCAAACCATCCCACCCCACAAAATTACATGAAAAAAGTTGTTGTTGCAGTATTTGTCTCAACTGCAAATAATAAACAGTTGTTGCAGGCAATTGGCGCAGCTAAAATAGCGCTGAATAGTTTGGCTGCTGGTGTAGACAAGGACAAACTATGTTTAGCACCAGTTGCCGTTGCTTACAGCTACAGATAGTAATAGGGAACTTCTGTAATGTAGACAAGCTCTTTGGAACAGCAAAATCAGAAAAAGTGTGGAAGCACAGAAGATAAGGTTCCTAGGTTACCATGTTGCTCATGAGTAATGTTTTCTGTTCTTGTTTCTCTGGCCAAATGTGTAGCCTAACAGGATATTGTTTGTATGCTGTGGATAAGTTTAATATTAACTCTAGACCCTTAACTTCTGCATTTTTGGACTTTTTCTGACATTAACTGTTATAATATTAATGTTGGGTTAGCATAGCTTTTAAAATTTAATTTATGCAGTAGAGAAGCTTGGCTAATACTGGACACATTATGAAAAAAGATAAGCATATATTAAAATAAGGAAATAGCCATACTGATCAAGTCAATCCGTTCTGATTCAGCAAAGCTCTTAAGAATGTGAGTAATCCTGTATTTATTCAGCCAAACATTTCAGGACCTGGAATTTAAGCATGTGCTTAAGTGCTTTGGTGAATAGGGATACAAGACTCATGCTCACGGTAAATTGTATATATATATATTTTGCTGAATTGGGATCTATATTAATGTGGCACCAAATATGAGAGACTTGAAAAAAGGATAATTCTATAAAACGAGGGATAGATGGCAGTCCTAGGTGAGATAAAAGATGTTTTTCCACCTTTAAAACTGCAGGACTAAAATATTAGATACAGTAATTTAAGGGTAGAAATCCCTCAAGCATTTTTTTTCTGAGCAATAATCAATCTACTCTATATTTTGGGGCAGGGAGCCATGGCCTAGGGCCTTTCCAAAGTCTATTGAAGTCAGCGGAAAACTCCCTCTGACCTGGGCTTTGGATTTGGGCCTTAGTGAACATTTGGATGTTTTATTAGCCTTAGAGAACCACGTCAGGATGGCTGGGTTCCAGTTGAGTTTATGCTGGTGCATAAATGCATCCCTATGTTGGAACTTAGACGAAGACAGCATGCCATCATAGCTAATCAGTAAACTTTTTGGGAAAGGGTAGAGGAGGACTGTTTTGTTACTGGGAGTGCAGATAACTTTTCTTGTTCCTCTTCATCTAATCAGAACATCCATGCACATAATATAACTTAATCTGGAAAAGCCGAACACTGTTGGAAATCAGTACAGATTTACAGATTGTGACGGGACAGGCCAGATGGCTATAGAAAAGTAGTGGGAGATAGATATGTTAGCTCCAGGCTAAACAAATCCCTGGTATCAGGATAAGTTAAACGGCAGCTGCTCCAGGTCAATTAAGACACCTGGGGCCAATTAAGAACTTTCCGGAAGGCTAGGTTGATTGGGACACCTGAAGCCAATCGGGCTGGTTGAAACTAGTTAAAAGCCTCCCAGTTAGTCAGGTGGGGGCGGATGTCAGGAGCTGTGAGAGGAAGTTGTGCTGTTGGAGAGACTGAGCAGTACACACCATATCAAGTACAAGGAAGGAGGCCCTGAGGTAAGGGTGAAGTGGAGCTTGAGGAAGTTGGGGCTGCTGTGGGGAAGTAGCCCAGGGAATTGTACGTCTCAGGTTTCTAAAAGGTCAGCTACCACAGCTGATACTATTAGTGTCCCTGGGCTGGATCCCAGAATAGAGGGTGGGCCCAGGTTCCCCCTTTTCCCCACCCCCCCAATTAATCACTGAGACTGGGAGACAAGAGAGACTGTGCAAGGGAGAATAGCTTCTCCTCACCTCCCTCACTGGCTTATGATAAAAGTGGCTCAGTAGACTGTGACCCTTGTCTCTAGAGAGAGAAGGTTATGTGGAGGGTCACAGTGAGCCGCTGAGGCTAGCGAAATCCTCCAGGAAACGCGGGACCCATGGAGACAAGGACAGAGCTTTGTCACAAGATGTATTTATAGACTCTACTTGGTGGGTAGATTTATAAATTTCATTTAAGTTTTATTTGATGCTGTAAATCAATCTATATTACACAAGATGTTGCAATAAAAATTCCCAGGAGTAACTTTAGATCAATTAGAATGTATCAAATTTTCTTACAGGACAATTAATAGTTACTACCAATCATATAAACACACTGATGTCCCTACATCCTACTTTACTGATTTTTAAGTAGAAGCTCTTCATTCAAAATAAATATAGGTGATGGAAAAGCCCTTCTTAATTAATGGAATTTCATAATTTTATGATTTACAAAGTTATCAACTTTGGCTCTTATCGCTGTAAGAGAACATAAAAACTATTCACACATTACATTTGTACATAACAAAACATGTCAGATTAATTCAAACAAGATGACCTCCTGATTGTGTTTGACAAGTTTATGCACAATTTTCAAAATTAAATTTCTCCTTGGGTTCTGTTACAACAATTACCGAACAAGTTCGTGGACATATTTTTTTCTACTAGAGTTCTAAATAAGGATTGTATTTAATTCTTCAAAAAGCCACTGGCCCAGCAGAAAAGACTTGTAAAATAGATGCTTGTAAAAATAGGTAATGGGCAAAATCCTCACCATTGCCCTTTATGCCACCAAAAAGGCCAGAGAAGCATAAAAAGAGCCCTAAAGGCTTCAGCTGGGAAAAGATTCCCAAGGTGCAGGCTGACAGACTGACAATATCCTGTAGTGTCCTGGACAAATCTTATGGAATTAAGATAAACTTTACTGAATTAAATTAGATCTTACTGAATTAGGGTTCATACCTTTTTGGTCCATTGTATTAAAAATGCTGCTGTTTGTGGTGTTATGGAATTGTATGTCTCTTTTCTAGAAGGAGGGGGATGCTAATGTACTTCCACCATTATCAGCCCTTTGAAGCCACCCCCCTGGAGAGGTGTATATCTACTAGTTCAAACTGGATTCTCCAGGGACCAACAGACACAGAAAGGAGTTTTGGATAAATAGCCTAGTTTTAAACTGTCTCAGGGCCTTCTTCCTTATCCAGCAAACGGACAGGACCACTGATGCCCAGAGAGCCCCAATTTTTAACATAGGGTTGGAAGGACTGGACCTTTTGAGGTCCCATGAAACTGGGTTCTTATTCTGAGCTGAAGCTGTGGTAAACTTGCAACCACAGGAATCCCCTTGGGTGGGGATTTGAAGGACTGCTCCTGTCAGAATCTATGTTAGGATTGGGGTGAACTTTGGTACGCTTATTAGCATGTATGTAGATGTAAACATCTTTTATTGTTTTTAATATGTTTTCTCTGCAGTCCTTTTTTACCTTAAGAATAAAATAGGCTTGTATAGACGGTGTGGCATTTGTAACAGTTGACAATCATGCTGCTATCAGTCTCTGAAGAGAAAGAAAGCAGGTGTGCTTTGGCTGCTTGGCTCTCTGCTCGTAATAAAGCATTGATGGCAGGTAACTGTGCAGGTTGGAAGTACTGTGGTCAGAAGGGAGTGAGATGTGGGTCTTCGCACAAGAAAGAAAATGGTTGGGAAGCTGGAAGTCTGAGTGGA